GATAGTGGATTGTGCATGGAGGGAATGGATGGAATTCAGAAATAGGAAGACCTTTGCAGCTTGATTTGGGTGTGGCCGAGAGTTATTAGTTGATTAGGTTCCTTGTGTTCAATTTTCAACTTTAACTTCTTGTGATTTTTGTTTGATCCTTTAGAATATAGGTGTCGAGTGTTATGCTTGCTTATAGTCTAGCAGTTGGTTGTTTTTTAGTTAGGACACCCCTTATGGTGCTCCTCCTTGTTTGTAGTAATTTTCGGGTTAGTTGATCCGACGAATTGTACCTCTTTCTTCTATTAATGATAATATCTATCGTTTAAAAAAAAAAACACCTAATACAATCCATTCTTGACTTTTTGATAGAGAGTAAGGTGTATGCATGCATTCATAAGTAGGGTATCATCTAATATAGGCACGCCCTAAGGCTTTCAAGTCAACTTGCCTGCAAATCATTGCTATATTCATATCTGGCAAGTATATGCATTGTCAAATGTCAACTAAACTAGTCATCATTCGGGGGCAAGATGCAGGGAATAGTAATGTGCTGGGCCGAGAATGAAGTCCTGGGCCCGAAGGAAAATGGGCTGGGCCGCTTACCAAAGTAATTGAGCTGCATATTACATATTAGCCTTGAAAGACCTCTATAATCACAGTAGAACCCCAGCCAGCAGTCTCAGTTATTTTTATTTATGTACTCTTTGTCCCTCCTTTCTCGCTCTCTAAAAAAGACAACAGCCATTCCACGCTGTCCTCATCCTCTACCTGCCTCCCAGCCGGTAACCGGTCACAGGGCCCCCCCAACACCTGCCTCACCAGTTCCCACACGTGCCATCTTCCCCTTTGTTCTCCTCCCCTTCCCATCACACGCACATATCCTCATGTGTGTGACTGTGTGTGGTGCAACAAATTAAAGTTAGAGAGAGAAAGCAAACGGACACATACATTACATACTGATACAGCAAGTAGAGAGAGATAGAGAAAGAGAGATGTGAAGGCATGCCTTTGTTGTGATCTCTCTCAAAGAGGTCTCTATACCTCTTTGCTCTTTCAACAGTTTTCTTTTTGTTTTTTTATTCTTCTTCTCTCCATTTTGTATGTGTCTGTAAGAAAAACGCGCATACTTCCAGACAATTTTGCTTCCCAAACTATGAGGATCAGAAAGCGTCTCCCGCCTCCGCCGCCGGCAGTTTCAGATCCCCAACTCCGTCGATCGCCGCCCGATCGGCCGTCAGGTGAAAGCGGGTCGACCCACCGCAGAAACGGAAAGTGGGTTTTTCCAAGTTACGACGATGAAACTGATGATGATCACAGGTCGAAGCTAAAGGTAAAGCTTTATTTAATAACGGGCCGGGCGCGGGCCATAAAAAAAAAAACAGTAAACATCACACCTTTATCGTGAGTGACACGATCAGCGACTTTTTTGGATGTGCCCAGAGACAAAAATGTACTATTTTTGTTTGCTTTGGGGCTAAAGTTGCACTCACATCACGCTTCCTAAATATTTTGATTTTGGTTCATCTTTTTGGAAAATTTAAGCGGAGACCAGTGTATAGTCACCGGCCGGGTGATCTTCTTTCTACAGTTGAATCAGTACACATTTGTGTGTGTATATAATTAATTTGCAGCAGTCTCCACTAGCATATATATATATATAATGCTCCGATTTTTTATTCCCATTGGGCAGGAGCTGGAAGACGATGGGAGATGGGTAATGGAAATGAAGAGTACTCACGATGGTATCAGGTAATTAGTTAGTTATGGATCACAAGAAATTTATAATATGTTTATAATTTTTTTTCTCTTGTTACTCTCAAACCGAATCAAATGGCATTGCTTTTATTGTGCTCCCATGTGATGATGTGATGCATTATACATATTGTTGCGTGCACACATGATATTTCATGATGAGTTTTACTTGGCCATTATTGAACTCTTGTATATATGTAACACCTCCTCCGTTAATTAATTCGTCTCAGGAAGATAGTTAATTATATCTCTAGTGGAGAAGCAAGTGATGATGATAACAGAATTCATGTGCTGCACAAATCAACTTCTTCTGCTCAAGGTAATTTATAAGGTGTATATGTTAAATTTTATGATAAATTAAGGTACTGCTAATTCGTATTATTCCTTGTGCTAATCATTTTAATTATTCGTATTCGTTTGAATATATATTAATTATATGTGGGGATCGGAGGATTTCAATAACTAAGACAAAATTACAAGTATTAATTCCTTCAATATAGACTGATTAATCTATATCTATCTATCTATCTATACTATTATAAAAGAGCCAATGAATCTGTAAAAATATGATATCCCTAAATTAACCTTACTTTGTCATGTTTATAATGTCAATTTTGTAATTTAATACCCCATTCTACACTAATATTTTTAATTAAACACATTCTAGATCTTGGGGTTTATGTATGTTGGTTTG